TAAGGTATGTACAGTAGATAAAAAAAAAGTCTACACACCCCTGTTAAAATGTCAGGTTTCTGTGATGTAAAAGAATGAGACAGATAAACCATTTCAGAACTCTTTCCACCTTTTAATGTGACCTAGAAATTGTCCAACTCAATTGACAAACAAACTGAAATCATTTTGGGGGGGGGGAGGGGGCGTAAACCTAAAAAACTAAAATAATGTGCTTGCAGAAGTGTGCACGCCATCTTATAACTGGGGATGTAGCTGTGTTCATAGATAAGCAATCACATCCAAATCATGTTAAATAAGAGCCAGTACACACCTGCCATCATTTTAAAGTGCCTCTGCCTTACCTGACATTTTCTTAGTCGCATCCTACAGTAAAAGCCATAATCAACAGAGAGCTCCAAATCATCAGATCTCAAAAATCTCATTGTTAAAAGGTTTCAGCCAGGAGGAGGGTACAAAAGATTTTCCAAGGCATTAGATATTCCATGGAACACAGTGAAGACAGTCGTCATCAAGTGTAGAAAATATGGCGCAACCGTGACATTACTAAGAACTGGACATCCCTCTAAAAGTTTTTTAAAACCGAGAAGAAAATTGGTCTGGGAGGCTACCAAGAGGCCTACAGCAACATTAAAGGAGCTGCATGTATATCTGGCAAGTACTGGCTGTGTGGTACATGTGACAGCAATTTCCTGTATTCTTTATTTGTCTGGGTTATGTGGTAGAGTGGCAAGACAGAAGCGTTTTCTTGCGAAGAAAAACATCCAAGCCCGGCTAAATTTTGCAAAAACACATCCTGAAGTCTCCCAAAAGCATGTGGAAAAATGTGTTATGGTCTGATGAAACCAAGGTTGAACTTGGCCATAATTCCAAAAGATAGGTTTGGCGCAAAAACACTGCACATCACAAAAAGAACACCATACCCACAGTGAAACATGGTGGTGGTAGCATCAAGCTTTGGGGCTGTTTTTCTTCAGCTGGAACTGGGGCCTTAGTCAAGGTAGAGGGAATTATGAACAGTTCCAAATACCAGTCAATATTGACACTAAACCTTCAAGCTTCTGCTAGAAAACCGAACATGAAGAGGAACGTTCTCTTTCAGCATGACAACGACCCAAAGCATACATCAAAATCAACAAAGGAATGGCTTCACCGGAATAAGATTAAAGTTTTGGAATGGCCCAGCTAGAGCCCAGACCCGAAAATGTGTGGGGTGATCTGAAGAGGGCTGTGTACAGGAGATGCCCTGACAATCTGACAGATTTGGAGTGTTTTTGCAAGGAAGAGTGGGCAAATATTGCCAAGTCAAGATGTGCCATGCTGATAGACTCATACCCAAAAAGACTCCGTGCTGGAATAAAATCAAAAGGTGCTTCAACAAAAGTATTAGTTTTAAGGGTGTGCAAACATATGCAACCATATTATTTTAGTTTTATTTTTACTTTCCTCCACCTAAAAGATTTAACTATGTTGTTCAACTGAGTTGTATACTCTATAGGTTATATTAACAGCTTCCCAACCGCCATATAGCAAATATACTGCTACAGGGTGGCACAGGTGTGCAAAATCAGGTGTGTGTGTGTACTTTTTGCATTTCTGGTAGGGAGTGCAAGCCCTACCTGTGCCGCCATTCGCAGCAGCGACTGTCAATCACCGGGTCCCAGCCGGTGATTGCAGAGGATCTCCGATTGGGAGGAGAACTGTATGTAAATAATACAGTTCTCCTCCTTGTCAACTCGTGCACACTGCTTTGGATGGCTGTGCACAGCTCAGTGTGATTACAGTGAAGCACACACACACAGCTTACTGTGAAAGCACTGTTAACCCTTTGATCGCCCCTCATGTTAACCCCTTCCTGCCTAGTGCCATTAGTACAGCGTGCATGGTGCATTTTTTTTTTTTTATTTTTTTTTTTTTTTTTTAGCACTGATCACTGTATTGGTGTCACTGGGGATGTCAGTGACACCAAGTCAGTTCCCTGCAGTCAGAATGCCCGCTGCAGTTCCGCTATAAGTCGCTGATCGCCACCATTACTAGTAGAAAAAAAAAATCCAGTATCTATACCAGCATTTGTAAACTCTTTAACTTTCACATAAACCAATTAATTTACACGTATTGGGATTTTTTTTTTTTTTTAGCAAAGATATGTATCAGATTACATTTTGGCTTAAATTTATGATGAAATTAGATTTTTTTTTTTTCTTTTTTTTAATCGCAAAAAGTCAAAAATATTGTTTTTTTTCGTTTTTTTTTTTTTTTTTTTTCTTTTATAACGCAAAAAATGCACAGGCGATCAAATACCACTGAAAGACAGCTCAATTCATGGGAAATAAGGAAGTAAATTTCATTTGGGTGCAGCATTGCATGACCGCGCAATTGTCAGTTAACTTAACGCAGCGCCGTAATGCAAACAACGGCATGGTCAGGAAGAAAGGTAAATCCTCAGGAGGGCAAGTGGTTAAAGGTGGAAAAAGTTCTGAAATTAATTATCTTTGCAATTTTTTTCCCTCAGAGAAACCTGACATTTTAACAAGAGTGTGTGCTGACTTTTTAAATCCACTGTAGGCTGTAGGGAGTCCAGTTGTCAGTCTTTTTGTTTGTGTAGTATTATTATTTTTTTTTTTTTTTTTTTTAAGTGGGGAGGAGCTTTGCTTAACCACTGATGGTCTTGCACAGTAAAACTGATCTTACTAGAGCAGGGTTTCTCAACTAGGGTTCCTCAAGATATTGTTAGGGGGTTCCTTGAGCAATAGGCAATTTTTTGGGGTTCCTCTGCGTTGAAAAGGTTGAGAGAGGCTGTACTAGAGTGATATAATTTTGTCTTCTGAGTTTGGCTCCCCTTTCGGACAATTTTTAAAACGGCTAGAGCGACTGCTACTTGTCTTGTAGAGATTCAGATGCTTTTGTGTAACAAAGCTGTAATGAAGCAGATAATAAATTGCTTTCCATACTGAGAAATATAGTTTAATTTATTTCTGCGTCGAATATAAAAGTGAGAGCCATAAAACTGATCCCGGCAGGTAATGACTTCAGTGTTATGAGTTTTTTCATATCTTGAAACAGAACTAATTTCATTAGAGAGATGTCTGCTTCCTCAAATGTGCTATAGCTACTGCTTACATGCTAGTTGTGAGCACCAACTTCTGACAAAGGGTAATAGATTGTCCTGTCAAACTCCCAAATTGTCTCTCAGCACTACAAATGGCAGTCTTGTGTGAAAATCTTACTGAATTTGGTTGGAGGGTTTAATTTAAAGTATACTTTGGGGGCAAAGATGGGCTTTATAATTTTACTGGAGGGTTAGATATTCTAGATAGTATTAGATCATTTGATTTTACCTTGTGTCTTGACGTGTTTTGTTATGGATCTGTTAATGAACGGTAAATCTGGGCAGCACAGTGGCTTGGTGGTGAGCACTTCTGCCTTGCAACATTAGGATCATTGTTAAAATCCAAGCCATGACACTACCTGCATGGAGCTTGTATATTCTCCCTGTGCTTGGGTGGATTTCCTCCAGGTACTTTTATTTCCCCCCACACTTCATAGACATGTTGGTTTGCATCTTCTAGTATACCACTTTAATTCCACTACATATTGCAGTACTAGTGCAGTGGCATACTTTAACCTTTCGAAATTGCACTGTCTGTAACCTGTGTATCTTAGATTATTGAAGTAACTTTTGATAAAATAAACTTGTCAGCCACTAAACCATTTTAAAGTTTAAAAGCACTATCTAATAGAAAGCACTGTAAGGGGACTGCACTTTCTAGGCAGAAATATTGCTCTGCAACATGAGGCCCTATTGACCCCTGATGTACTGTCCTTGAGGGATTATAGGTGGGTGAAACTATCATCTAGTAGAGGAGCTTTCCTTGGAAATGTTTAGTCTAATAAGAGCACTGCATTGCCAATAAGGGCTATTATTCCTCATATTACTCTTTGCAGGTTGTGGATCCGCTGCAATATTTTCATGGGAGATTGTGGTGCATACATGTGCATCTGATTTTCTTTCTGGTATTGAAAGTTGGGACTCTGTGTAAAATCTATGTAGCACTACTCCCTTACGGGTAGCTTAGTAATTTTCTGGTTCCTGGTCAATCTGGACCTCTTTCTGAAAGCCCAACCTCTGCTGACACCACAGTACTCCTGTGACCAGAATTAGTCATCACTGTAAAATGGACGCACACACAAGTTAGTGTAAACCAATATGAAGTTTTTATTGAATTTGAGTGTAGCTTGATCAAAAAGCACAAATTAACATTGGCATATGCAGCAGATCTAATCCCTCTTGTCAACTTTAAGCAAAAGTACCAGCATCCATGGTACAAGTAACTGTTAGCAGGCCTGCTTTCAGAAATAAGCCACTGTCTGCAATCTGAGGTGACTGTTGAATCCTCAGCAAATGAGAACCGCTATCAATAAACAAGTTATCTTACTGCAAATCCTGAGAACCTGATGGCAGGGATTAGATTTGAAAATGGAGAGAGCTCTCATCTATAATCAACCAATGTCCCTTTTAAGAACAATATGGAGACTTCTGCACAGTAGTTGGGGCACAATTGGTGTGAAGCTGATCTGAGCTGTAGATGATGGTTAATAAGTACTTCTACTCTTAGTAGTAGTGAACTGATGTAAAAGTCCCCTTTTAACCTCCCTAGCGGTCTGATTATGTCAGTATTTCTGTGCTTAAAGCGGTACATTTTTTTTGCATGGAAATGTTGTTTTTTTTATTATAGGCCTGTAATTTTTAGGACTAACTCACTGTAATCTGTCCGAACAAGAGTCTAGTAAACATCCTGGGTATGATAACATTTGAAACACGAAATCCTATATTACAATTTAATAAATAATCATAAAAAATATAATAACAATAAATTTAATTCAATAATGTATGAAACCAAAATCACTGAAATTTTAAATATAGCGCCAAGTTCGCACATCACTGAGCAAAGTCGCAAAATCGTTTTCAGTGTCTGATGACGAATTTCCCCACAAATCATCACTCAATTCTGCAAGTGGTTATAATTTACTATCGCTGTTCTCTAGCTGGTCTAAAACCGCTTTTGACCTAAAGGGACGCTTTTTGGACACCATGGACATTTCTCAGTTTCCAGGCTGAAAGAACAGTAACAAATGCAGGCAGGGCACAGGACAAAGCACTAGGGACAAAATGTATGTGAAATGTTTTGATACAGTAATGTTATCCTATGTGATCTTAGTGTATTTAGTGAGTCACTTTTTGACATTTTTAAATTTTCTGCTGGTTACATCCTGACGTCGCAGGGAACGGAACCCGGAAGACAGATGTCGGCATCGGCCGGAGGAGATGGCCGGGGACGCTGCAGGGGGGAAACCACGGAAGTGCAGAAGGGATCCCGGAGCAACACTGCAAGGTATTCCCGAGTGTAGCTCAGGGTTACCGCTTGTGGTGCTGAAATTTTACCCCGAGCTACACTCTGGAATACCTCCAGGGAGGTTAAGGAACTAAACAAGGACAGATTAGACGTAGTGAAGCGTAACAGTTGCCATAAGTGTCTGTGAGCAAGAACTCTGGGTGAAGAGGGCTAAAAGCAACAGTAGTAGAAATCCCGTTCTGCTGGGAAGGGTAACTTGTTTCAGTCAGCACTGCTGTATTCTGTCCTGCAGCTGTGTGTCCTGTGGTCCACTTGGATGATGAGATTGTAATGCAAAAGTGTTCCAACGATGGCGGCTGGGAGAACTAGGCCGCAAATAGGGGTAACTGTGTAATGTCTGCAACTATGTGCAAGTAGATAGCAGATGTGATGAATTGGTCAGTGTTCACTTAGTGGGTGTATGGGACTCTCATCCGATCAATGGGAACCATTAGATCTTGGCGTTTTTTTTTTTTTTTTCTGCGGATGGGGGCTCCAACTGACTCTCCGGTCCTGTTTTGGCGTCCTATCTGTTCTCCTGCTTACAGATCGGCTCTCTAGGCAGCGTGGCAAGACTGACGATCAGCAGACTCTTTCCACTCCTCCTCCCTTTCTGGTTCTGCAGCCTGGTCCAATACTCCAGCCATCAGTACACTTCCTCCTCTCAATCTCTCCTCTCTCACTTCCTGCTCTGTCTCCTGGGCTTTGAGCTTTATTAAAGTCCTGCAATTCGGCATTCAAGTTCCAAATGGCTGTTCTTCAACATGTGAATGCTACTGTTCTGCAGGACACTGCCACCTTGTGTTTGCTTCAACATCCTGCATTAGTAGGAATGCATGGATACTGGCATTGATGCTGATAATGAGTATTTTCACGAGTACTATCGATACCTAATTGATACTTTGCAGTGCGATTTGTGTTAATGGACGCAAATTGCACCACAAAGATTAGCATGCAGTTTAAACAAGAATGCAATTTTTGTCCAAATCTAATGCAGTTTTCCCCACTGCTCCTGTGTGAATCCAGGCTTGTCATACTCCAGGTTCACACAGGAGCGATGTGGGAAACCTCCCTGCAGGCATCCCATGCTGAGTCTCAGTGGTAGGAGGGGAGAGAAAGTGGAGGGGATTTGAAATCCCCACTGATTTGTTTCTTCCTCTTTGTAACGTTTACCGTTCAGGCTAGAGGACTTTTGATTGGTCAACACCAATCAGATGCAGTCTAGGCCGAACGGTCAATGCTGCAACGCTTTCCTCTCCTACCACTGAGACTCATCATGGGATACCTGCAGGGAGGTTTCCCATATCGCTCCTGTTTAAAATCTGGCTATGAAAGCCTGGGTTAACACAGGAGCAGTGGGGAAACCGCATGCAATTTGGACAGGAATCTCATTCCTGTTTAAATAGCATGCTATTCTTTGCGGTGTAATTTGCGTCTATTAACGCAAATCACACCGCAAAGAATTGGTATTCGGCGAGTACTTGACCAAAAGTATTGGTATTCGTACTCGCTGATTTAAAAAAAAAAAAAAAAAAAAAACGGTATTGGTGCTTCCCTGTGCATTAGACATTTTATAGCAGGGTGTTACACACTCCCCCCACTCAGTCTTTGGTCCCCCAAGAACAAAGGAAACAAGCTGAAAACATTTGGCATAATTATCTTTACATTTGATAAAGAAATTAACCACATTAATCAGGAGGAACAATTGGCACATATGCATTGTTAATCAACTGTTGTAATAATGACTACCAGCCATGGTTAGGAGACTCTGATTGCTCAAGAGGTAAGGCAATGGCTTCAAAAATCTCTTCTGGGGTGGTGTTAGCAGAGGGGATTACAGATTCTTGGATCTGCTCCAATAAGCTGTAAATTGGATCTTCTAGAATTCTTTAGCTGGAATAGAAGGCTTCTTCAGAACTCTCTCCCAACACGTCATAAGTCCGTCTCTTGGGCGCTCTTATCTCCCTTCTTTCCCTGGACTCCTCCTAAGAGATGACATTTTCACCTTCTATTGCAGACTCTGCTTGAGAACCCTTTGGGGAATCAATCTCTGGTTCAGAAAGGAAGAGGTCTTCAAAAGTGGGGTCTGGCAAAGAGGTAGGCTCAACCAGACTTGAAGGGCCTGTCTCTGCAGTGGACAGATTCTCTGGTTAGAAACTTGTCGAAGGAGCGGGGGTGAATCTGAAGCATGGATGGGTGTCTAGATACTCTCTTTTATGGCAGTTAGAAGAGGTCGCCAATCTATTTCAATTTCTAACCCCCTCTTCCTCATCTATCCCCTCCTCCTCTGGAACTGGAATAGGCTAAGAAGGGGGTGGGGAAAGTCTGTGTGGCAGAGTTCCCGCAACAGGAGGATCACTTGTGGATATTGGGACCTGCACAGCATCAGATAAAGGCAAGAGATAATTATGGTGCCAAGATTTTACCATGCCTTTCTTCCCTCCCGGTGGATCTGATAGACAGGTAGATTTGCTAACTTTCGACAAATGATAAATGGTTGAGATTTCCAACGAGCTGCAATTTTTTTTTTTCCCTGAAATCCCAAGGTTTCTTTAATGGTACTCAGCCTTGCTTGAAAATCCTGTAGTTTCACCTTGGAATCATAACGTTGTTTATTCCTCTCCCCTGCAGATTGGGAGGCTCGCCTGGCTTCCTCCTAAGCGGTCTCCAAATGATATTTCTGTCTGTCTGTCTGTATACCCCCTGATGTGATGAGGTGGTCAAGTGATCAGGAGCAGTGCCAAAAGGCAAGTCCACGGGCAACTTAGACTCTCGCCCAAACATCAGACTATATCAAGAAAAGCCTGTGGCATTCTCAGCGCTATTATAAGCAGGGTGCCCAACATGTTTAGAAGTGTTCTGTTGAATCGTTCTGGTTGAGGATCACCTTAAGGGCAATAAGGAGTAGTTCTGGACTTGATTCCTAGCAAGGTCAGCAGTTCCTTTATTAGTTTTGCTTTCAATGTCTGTACCTTGAGTGGATTCTATATGGAAGCTCATGGTGTACAAAGAACTTCTCTACTAACACTTTAGACACAGTGGATGCTTGCTGGGTCTTAGTGGGGAATGCCTGAACATATCTAGTTAAATGATCAGTCACTACTAAGACATTCCCCCATCTGCTAGAATCAGGTTCCAGACACAAGAAATCAAAACATACCAGCTCCATTGGTCCTTGGCTCTGAAGGTGGCCCAAAGGAGCAGCTTGGCTCCCAGCACTTTAGCACAAGCCACACCTTTGATTATGTACTCAGCTCCCTGACATATGGACTGTACCTCCACTGGGAATACCTGCAACCAGTTTGGCTCAGTGGTATGGCGGCCATAAGGTCTTGTAGATAGAGCATTCACATCCTTATTCCCTGATCCAGGCCTGTACCTTTAGACTGAAATGGAATCCAGATAGCGCAGGCAGCCATCAATGTCCAGTGGCATCTAGTTTAGCTTTGATGAGCACATAGGTCAGGGAATTGTTATCCATCTTCACAAGGAATTCAGCTCCAAGTAAATAATCCTTCAGCTTGTCTATCTCAGCCCACTTCAAGCTCCAGCTTGTGTGTCAGTTAACTCCTTACAGCTGGGGAAAGGCTCTGGGTCACAAACACAACAGGTTGCATTCACCCAGCATGCTCTTGGTACAGAACTGCCCCAATCCCTCTCAGCTGGCATCTACATGGAGTTCGTAAGGCTTGGAGGGGTCAGCATAAGCCAACACTGGGGCCTGCGTTAAGCATTGCTTAAGCTTAGTAAAAGCTTGCTCACACTGCTGAGTGCATTGGCTGCTGATGGGCTCCCAAGGTCTTTCAGGTCTTTTTTTTTTTTTTTTGGGAGGGCTCTTGCTTGGCTCACTGGTTTTGCCCTCGATATTCTTTAAAAGGTCAGTGAGGATTGCAACTTTCTTTGCAAATCTCTCCACAAACCGACGATAGTACGAACAGAATCCCAGGAACGACCTCAATTCAGTAATATTGTTAGGTTGAGGCCAAGTAGTCATAGCTTCAATCTTGCTAGGATCTGTAGCCGCCCTGTCTGCAGAGACCACATGGTCCATATAGGTAACAGAATTTTGCTACAATTGGCACTTTTCCAGAGATGGTTTCAGACCACCTTCATGGAGCCTTTGCAACACCTCTAACTGCTCTTAATGCTCCTACAAGGTTCTCCCAAACACTATTATGTCACCTAGGTAAACCAGGACCTCAATTAGATTAATATCCCGCACTGTACACTATATCAACCTCTAAAAAGTGGCAGGCGCCCCAAATAGGCCTTGGAGCATGCGGTCGAATACAAAGAACCCCAGTGGGCTGATGAAAGCAATTTTCTCTCTATCTTCAGGGTACATAGGGATTTGGTAGTATCCACTCTTCAGATCCAGGACCCTAAACCATTTGGCTCCCAACGGACACTACAAAGCATCTTCAATCCTGGGAGTTGTATATTGATCTGGGATAGTCCTCTTATTCAAGGTTCTATAGCCGATGCACATCCGCAAGGTACCATTCCTCTTGCAGACCACTACAATAGGAGAGGCATAGGGACTCCTTGATTCCCAAATAATCCCATCCCTCTTCAGCTCAGCAAACTGCTCTCTGAGATCCTCCAAGTCCCCCAGCAAGAATCGTTGGGCCCTCTCTCGAAATGGCTTGTTGTCTTTGAGCAAAATCCAGTGCTGAGCATTCTTGGTGCACCCAACATCATAATCATTCCTGGAAAACACTCTCTCCCAGCTTTTCAGTCTATCTCCTGGCTCTTTTCTTCCACTCTTTTGACAGGGGAATCTTGAAGGCCGAACTCTCTTCCAACAAACTCACCTGGCGTATCGGGTGCACTGATTGGGGTGGCTGCATTCACTTGCCCCAACAGAACCCGGGCCTTCAAGGTTATGGGGTCTGCTGTGTTATAGACTTGGACTAAGATGTTACCCCTATTGCGCTGCAGAGCCTTTGCCAT